ACCACTTGTGCAAATTTGCAACAATCATATTATACCTGTAACACAAATAGTTGTTTCTTTAAGAGGTATTAGTTCTATGCATCATTACTCTGAACTATAAAATGTATATTTTATATTTGCAAAAATTAAACTATGAAAATTAAACTCTTCAAAAAACTAGGAAACTAAAATATGCAGCTGTGTTTATTCCAACAGGTTTTGGAGTTGGCAGGCAACGCCTCCAAGGATCTTAAGGTAAAACGTATCACTCCTCGTCATTTGCAGCTTGCTATTCGTGGTGATGAGGAGTTGGATTCCCTTATTAAAGCAACCATTGCTGGTGGAGGTATGTATTGTCATAGCTTCTGGAATGATGAATTTTAACTATTTATCAAAGGGAATTCAGTAATGCCTGTGTCAGACGTTCCCAACCTTTTTGGGCCAGTGGGCATCGTTGAAATGTTGAGAATATATGACGGGTGCCTTTACTAAATGGTTGCCATGAAGGGCAAGGCACCTTTCACTCACTCACTCGTCAGAAGGCAAACTAGATTAGGGTGCTGCTCCACCAAGAGGCCTTTCATTGCATCCTTTCCCTCTCCCTCTCCCTCTCCCTCCTCTATTTCTCAGCAAGTGGGTATATTTTCAGAGACAGGATTTTTATTTTCCAAGAAAGTCTTGTTGGGCCACTGAAGTCTTAGACATAAAGCTGCTGTTAATGGCTGCTGCTTTACTTTATGGCTTGCCAGCCATCTTTTGATTTAAAAAAATTAAGCTGGGGCAAGGAGCCTGAAGCACTGAGAGAGATGTCTGAAGGCACCATGTTGGGGATTCAGGCCTCAGTTAAGCACTTCATGAACTGCTTGTCTATAATACCTTCTAAGCTGATGAATAATTTCTTCCATTCCCCTCCTTGATTTTTGATAAAGTGATAAACAATGTGATAAAAACTGTTTTTGCTGCCTGGCAGCCCAGTTTTTCCCAAAAATTTCCCATGCAAATGAATGTGATTCTAATTAGCATATTCATCTCCATATCCCTACACAGGCATTTGGGCTACATTCTTTTGCAAATGAATGTGATTCTAATTAGCATATTCATCTCCATATCCCTACACAGGCATTTGGGCTACATTCTTTTGCAAATGAATGTGATTCTAATTAGCATATTCATCTCCATATCCCTACACAGGCATTTGGGCTACATTCTTTGATGTGAAAAAAAATGAAATCTAGCCTATTTCAGGTGGAGAAAAAGAATATTTGAATGTTGGAAACAATGTTGGGCAACAATCAGTGAAATGAAACTTTTAACTTCTCAGTGTTTCAGGACAATTGCTTGAAAAGTAAACATTGTACATCTTTGAAACTGCCTGACATTACTGAAGTGAAAAATGTTGATATTAGAACATTTTCCAGCCCATCTTTTTTGTACAGGGTATTACACAATTACTTTATATACACAGCATCAGCTCTGTATTTTTCTCATTACTGATTTAATCTTGTCTTTCCCTCTTGAAATAAACTAATTTATTTAGCAGCTCTATGTTCCCAATGTTAATTTTAATAGAAGTGCAGAGCAAACATTGTGAGGTTTTTCTTGGAGAACATTTCATCTTCCATGAAAACCCTTTTAAACTGAATTATTTATTGAAGTGTGTGATAAAAAGAGTAGTGGCTGCTAGAGAACTTTAAGTTGGAATAGGCTGGGAGGAGGAAGGGAAGATGGCGACGTGTTTGTGTAAGTATTGATCAGTGTGTTAAATCTTGATATTATCATGTATATTTCTCTTAATTCTTTTATTCTCTCTGCAGGTGTAATTCCTCACATCCACAAGTCTCTGATTGGAAAGAAGGGACAGCAGAAAACTGCATAAAGAGGCGTTTTAAACAGCCCTCTTCCTCTCTGTCATTGTACTGTAATTGGGACAGAAGAAATATGGGGATATGTGGAATTTTTTTAAAAAAATAGTTAAATGGAAGAGCATAGACAATTGACTGTAGACTTAAAACATTTGTATGTTCTTTAGATTTAAAGTTTGACAAAAAGTACCTTGTTACGTGGCAGCAATTTGTGTGTTGATTGGCTAGGTTTCTCCCATGTGTTTTATACAAAAATGGAACTGATAAAACCATTTTTTACAAAACCTATTCTTGTGTGTCATTCCGGTATAAAAGGGATAAATGCAGTAAAATCCTATTGAAATGTTTAAAATAAACAGTCACACATTTTAAACTTGGGTATAGCCACATTCATGGTTAACTTTGTTTACTCTTGCTTATTAACATAGAGATCAAAGTCCAGATTTTAATGTCACTTAAAATAACTTTTATGAATTTTAACAATGCAACTTTTCTTACAATTGTTTTTGCCTACTAAAACTTTTTCTCTAAATTCCTACACTGCACAAACATGGAGATATGCAGTGTTATTATATTAGCAAAGATGCCCACCCCTGTATTTTGCTGCTCACGGCTGATAACCTTTTTGAAGTCGGTGGCTTTGCATTGAATACTGCTGTATTCTTGAACCAACCTACTTGCTTTTGTTTCAGCTATTATTTTGTTGTGTTCTGACAAATACATCATCTGTAACAAAATTCTAAACCAGCAATGCTACCGTGATTATAACTGGCAGTGTTACCACTATGATACCCTTTAAGCAAGAACTAATATTTCTTTCCACTATTAATTTTCAGAACTGCTTTACACAATACAATTGTAGGCATATTGCTGATTAAACATAATGGCAGAATGGTCTCAAATCTCCAAGTTTTTGGCTTACCTATAGCTGTTCTCAAATTAATTTGTATAAACTTTCCCTCAATTATAATTTCACTGTGGGGCAAAATTCCAGGGTTAATTAAAATTTTGATCTAAAAATTACAAGGAGTTACAGTCTTTAAAGTAGAATATTGTAAGAATTTTGGACTGAATGAGATCAAGTAGGGTTTCAGTTGTTTCCCCATTCCTATTAGTGTGGATGGCTGTTTGTTTTTTTAAGTTTATTCACTATATTCCTGTGCATTGTAATTTTAAACATTGTCCTTATTAAAATAGCTTTCAAAATGCTATATATGGTAAAAGTGAGATGAAATGATTTAGGTAAGTTAGATACAACAACCAATTTGGATATGAATTGGGACTTCAGGTTACATTTGATGATTCCATGGTAACTGATAATCTAATAAAATACTGTCCTAACAAAGGCAA